AAGAAGAAAAAGAAGTGAGGACGTCCAACTATATAACTTCGATATGTCCAAAGTATTTGGATTTCGGTGTTCGAAATATAGAAGTACAACTGTAACTTTACTTTGATCTGACTCGATGGAATCAAGCATTCGAGATATTACATGTATACCAAGGTTAAAGAACAAAAGAAATTAAAATTGGGACTTCCAATTGAGTTTAAGATATCCATAGTATTGAGTTATCCGTGTACGAGATATCAAAGTACAGCTGTACTTTGTATATATATCAAATACTTTAAAGATTGTTTCACCAAAGATATCCTCGTGCCTTTGTTCTTAACACTCCTAAACCCTCGTGGCTTAGGATCTGACAAGGGGTTAAATGTTCACAGATTGTCGGTAACACAAAGAAATCCACCCCGTACCTTTAAATACAAAATAAACATTTCTCTCCCCCTCACACAATCACGATATAAGTAAATAGGTAAATAAAATTAGGGTCATCTTGTCAGTTGACCATCGTCATAACGATTTTATTGGTTTGTGGAATATACAAGAAACAGAAGGGATTTGTGTAATAAGAAGAAAGTATTTAGCTGGAAATCTCAAACGAATACTGGAATTCTAGGGTGGTGGCTAAAATAAGCTCTGCCTGCTGCCTAATACCATTGACCCTTTAAAGAAAAACTATGTATTAAACAAGGAAAATACTCCTGGATTAAAAAAACACACACATATATTCTATTTCTAAAAAAATCCTCCTGGATGGAAAGAAAAAAAAATTCTATTTCAAAGAAAGGTCCCAGTTTGAAAGTGTCCCTCTGTGTTATGGGGTGGGGGTTGAAAGTAAGGAAACATTTTGAAAAATATGCTACAATTAATCATACATATAGATTATTTTTAATTGTTGACCATTTATGTCTCAGAAATGAGTAAAAAATATTAAGTACCTTTTCCTATTTAATTCCAATTTTAAGCTGAAAATTTGGGACACTGATTAATTTTGATAGAAGGGATGTGAGTATTGAATGTGTGCCACATTTATACATAGCTATTTAAGATTGAAATAAAATTAATATCCGAAGTAAAATTGCTTTTACATTACACTTCTGTGTAACGATTTCATAAATAAATTTAGAAAAAAAAAAAAGTTTAAGCAAAATAATCGTAGCTTCAGGAAAAGAAAAGATAAAAGCTTTTTCACGTTAAAATAAAATGAAAAAAAAAAAATCTTGATAAAGGGCTTCTGGAAATAGGTTTATCAACACATCGTTTGCTCATCTATCACTTTCTTATCCCTAAACAAACGTCTTTGATCTTAACAAGATCAATTTATAAATCATACAATTTCCTTTTTTCGATACAACATCTTGAATTCCTTGTTGATCAATTACCAGAAAGGTACACCGGGCTTTGTTCTTCGGACATGTCCTAAATTATCAGGGAATTCTTCCTCTTTTGAACCACAGAATTCGAACAATTAATCTTTCTTAATGTTTCAAGTCACACCCAAGATTGAAGCTTTATCTCCCTTTTATAAATAATGCGTGTGCTCTTTGAATAAATTATTAATCAAAAAGATACAAACAAAGGAAGAATTAGATACCCAAGTTTGCTGACCCTGGTTAAAAAAAAAACTGGAATGCTTAAATTGATGATCGATCTTGAGTTTGAAAATACTCTTAATGGGTAATTTTCAATTACTATATTATTTTGTGGTTGAATACATTTAAGCGAATTTCTCCAGATAGTCATTATTTATTAAAAATTCAATTACGTTTAAGCAGGCATTTTGTTAAAAGTTGTTTTTTTTAGGTTTGTATTGTAAGAAATGCATGCATAGTAAATATTATATTAAGTTGGAAATAAATGTGTCGAAGGTCTAAATTCTTGTTTTTCACGCATATCAAAGCTTTAAAATAATGAAAGATTTCAAGCAAATAAAAGTATGGTCTTTTTAAAGCTATTTTTTTTTTTGCTTTTTTAAAAATCAAAGTTTCCAAAATGTCAATGTTAAATGATTATGAATAAATAAATTATAATTATAAAACATGCTCCCATTTATATCCCAAGCCCCCCCCCATCAAACCCCATTATTGGAATTCAATGGGGTCGAGAGAAAACTGAGATATCTGAGTATTCAAGACATCCTGGGTAAAACCTTGAAGAATAAATACCTGGGACTTCCACTTTGAAATCGCTTTAATATAGTCATGGTATTCGAGATATTCGCGTTCGAGATACCGAAGTTGTACTGTATGAAAACGAATCCTTTCACATACTGTGAAATCACAAATATTCGTGGGGTCAAGTTTTCGAGGTTTGATTAAAAACTCTTGATTCCTTGGGATTTGATTTCGTGGAAGAAGAAATGTTGAGTAGGTGTGTATGTAAGATTTTACGTTTCGCAGTGAACATGAAATTGTGGGTCTCTTCAAACCTCGAAAACAACGAAAAGTAAACCCTAAAAAAAGTTTTATGATTTCACAGTATTGCATGGTGCATTCTGCATAAATGAAAAACTGGTTATAAAAGGATTTTTAAACTAAAAGTACAAGTACCTTTGATATCAGTTCCACCTTAAAAAAAAATAGCGAATACTGAATTTCATATTTTTTTGTCGCAAAGCATCAATTAGCAATCAACAACCAACCATTATAAAAAAAATATGCAAATACCGTAAATTCATTTTTATCTGGAGTTTTATCAGAAGTCACATAAAAAACTGGTAACATTTTATCAGGAGTCGCATAAACCCCGCGGAGTCGGCGACAGACAATCGATAACGGGTCGCACCTATTGACTCACTGAAGATTCCTAAATCCGCAGATAGAAAATAAACCAGACCAAAAATGGAGGATAAATGCAAATTAAATGCTTTTTCTATGTCATGGAAATAGTTAATGTTGGTGACATAGATATAATCTCTCTAGATCTCCTGTATGTGTCAATGATATTTTCCACAGCATACTCAAGGACACGGAGCCATATATATCGTTTTTATATAATTACTTTGTTGTATTTTGTCAATGCGTTTCAGTTGTTCCATAAGTACATGAATTAGTATATATACTGAATATTATCGGCTGCTGCATGGTCAACTTTCAACTTCTGTCATGTTAGTATTTTTATAATTTTGATTTCCACCTGGTAAAAAAAAAACAATACCAGTACAACATGGCATGCACTATGCTCTCTAATTTTTTAATACACCTTAACATTGCTTTGTCAAAAATAGAACTGTCAAACATTGTCATGTTTTACAATTTCAATCAGTAGAGAAATCTCTAGATTTTTGACAAAATTTATAAACAGACGGTCGTGCGTAACATCAAACAATTAATTTTTTTTTGCTTAGCCCGAAAGATAACCTCTATTTTGCTACAAGAGTATTGACATTGTCTGACCTTTGAACTCTAAAATAATGTAATCATGTGATTGCTCCGAAATTTTAATACTGGAATTTTGTCGAATTTATCAAGAAAACTAATTTGGATGAATATTTCATGGGCATAAGAACATAAAATCCTCTAAATAAGCTGTGTAAGTCTGAGTTTAAACTTTGGGTCGATTGTGCAGATTAAATAACAATCAAAATTTTTTTGTTACCAAGTAAGGTCCATAGCACGTTATTTAATTTATGGAATTCCAATCGAACGCGAGAATCTGATAAAAATGATATTGCAAAAATTAGGCTAAGAACACATTTTTTGGTCACCTTTGCGTGTCTTCGTTCATGTCTTACACAGTTTCTGAGAAAGTATAAATAAGTTATTTTGGAATCTGTTAAAGGAAATGCACAACAATTACATCATTTGATGAACACTTCTCATGCAAAATCAAAATTACGGAAAACGTTTTTTTTTTCAGTTTAGATTTGTTTTTAGAATTCCAAGTATTTTTCCTCCTATCTTTTATCACTTTATCATGCACATGTTCAGTTTTTAATTACAAATTAAGTATCCAAAACAATTCCCTTTTTTTACTTTTAAACAAATGACCCAAATAATAAAATATTAATTCGACAGAAAACGAAAGTTTACGACAATCCGACCGGAAATGATAGTTCCATTTTCGGCACAGAGAGTGTATCATTCCGCCATTATCGGCAGGTGAATCATGACGCTGTAGTTTTTAACGGGTCAATTACGAACCCGCGATTAATAAAGAAAATCATTATAGGTTACCTAAATGACCGTTCCATTTCCTGTGCTATGCCTTCTCTTACTATATTGATTAACAATTTAAGGTTGATTACACGATTTCTCGTAATGAGTGTTTACCTCGGCCAAATCCACTGTGCGAAAATTTCCTTTGACGTTGCAGTTTTATGACACATTTTGCGTTTCATAAAATATGTCACTTGTCGGATTTTATAATGAAGTAAAGGACACCTGACTATAATATGTTTTATTTTCTTCGTGCAAAAGATCGTTTGGAATTTTTTCTTCTGTTTTAAATCGAAAAACACAGATAGTCCTTGTTATTATATTAGATATCAGTTGATAAAATATATTTCAGGACAATTTTTACTCTTTACTCTAATGACAGAATACTGCTTAAAAAATCTGCTCATCTTAAAGTTAATAATTAAAACCCTATCCAAATGCAAATCACAAGTACATGTAACAAATATAAAAATGTAGAAAATAACATTGATAAATCACTACTTTTGCTTTATATACAATAATTTTCAATTCAAAATGATGTCATTAATTTTGCTGTGCTAGTTACTTGTACATGTATAGTTGTTTGACTTAAAAATTCCTATCAAATCTTTGTTACAAAATTATCATACTTAAAATTCAAATTGAAGCATCTTCAGAAAGTGTAGATTCAAGTTTGTTTAAATCATGACCCCCCCCCCCCCCCCGGTCCCATCTAGGGGTATGGTGGAGCCACTATGAAAGTTAAAACTTGAAGGCAAAAAGAGTCACAGTTAGTCAAAAAAAAGTTGTTCTCCCTCAGAAATTATTTTCTTGAAAAAAGTATTTAAAAACTTGTAAATTTCTTTTTCACAGGTAGTGGACATGAGATGGGGCGTGCGAGATGAGGCGACGGACGATCACATGACCACCCATCTATGCATGCAGGAAATCGACAACTGCCAAAGACTTTCTATTGGTCCAAACTTCATCGTAAGTACAGCTGCACTCTGATACAACATTAATTAATGGAGATACTCAGTAGAATGTTTACTAGTGTAAACTTCTCACATAACGTGCAATGTATTAAGATTGTCTATTGATCCATACTTCATCATCAGGTAGAGTTGCACTCTGATATATTATGTTTAAAGAATGTCATTTGGTCCAAATTTCATCGAAAGTACAATGAACATCTGCTAAAACATAATATACATGTTATGCTTATTCTATGTTCAAAGACTATCTGTTGATACCAACTTCACCATAAGTTGTTCCAAATTTCATCGTACACCTGCACTCTGACTCAACATATAATGATTGTATAATCCATATAGTGTACTGTTGATACATGTATTAATAACTTCATTGTAAGTGCAGCTTTGTTCTGGTACAACGTATAATGCATTATGAATATATTTTTCTGTATGATTTGTATATGAGGAAATTTAACTGGAAAAGAATATTGCCAGAAATACAATTGTATTGTGGATTCAAAATGCATATTTTATATTGTAATTAAAACAAACCCGAGAGTACAGTAAATTACAGTAGTTTATTTTACAAACAAGCATCAGTTTCATACTGTTATATTGCTGGAAATTCAATCCGTGTTGCAGATTAAAGTTTGCACATTTCGCATGGCAAAAGTTAACAAGACAGTACAGTGAAAAACAATGTTCTACAGAAGCAATCATCAGTGTCATACTGTAGCGTACAGTAGATGTCTACTTAACCCGCGTATTCTTAGTTAATCTTATTACCCCCTTTTCAGTAAGTTAAAAAGACAAATAGGTAATAATTTGCTATTTGATTTTGATATGCATCCAAATGCAAGGAAGAGGGAATAATGATACTGACGGCATTTGAAGAGACAAAGGCTATAAATTGCCTTGAATTTTTGTGCTATAAAAGGAAGTACGCATAATACTGATGTATTAATAAAATGGATAATAAACAGTAAAAGTATAAAACACGAAGATTCTTTGGTAATTAAACCTTAGGCATGAATCCAGAACAGGATTCTACATGTAAACATGTTGGCATGTTTTCCTCAATGAAGGGAGCAGCGTTTACAGTGATTTCTTTTCATCAATACTTCCTTGTCTTGGAATATTTTTCATGGGAGCGAAAGCCGAAGGTTTTTTGTTCGAAATGAACTGAATAAATACTTGTTTAATCTGTATAATTACCGGTAGAATAATTATACTTTTTCTGAAAATAAACGCAATCTTTTTATGACACAAACAAAATTAATAAATAAATTAAAAAAAAAAATTAGTGCTTAGGGGGATCTTTGATACATTTTTTTCTTTCTGTTGAGAAATTATATAGTACTGTAAATTGTAAATTTTCAAACAATTTCAGTGTAAATGCCCAAGGCTTTAAAGAGGCATGAACACAATTTTGAAGACTGTATCCCTCAAAAGTTTCGGTGGAATTTTATAACCTATATTATTGTCGAACTTTTCAGACCAGTATTCTGTAAAAGCTCAATTAGAAACTGCACGACTTTATAAAAAAAAATATTCAAAACAGGACCATGAAAAGTTGAATCCACACTTCAAAAGTTATGTCCCTTGGTAGTAATCAGGTTTGTTACATTGTCATTTGACTTTTAAAAAGCTCTGAATTTTGTGTACTGATTGCCCCAAGACTGGACTACCCACACATTGAAAGAAAAAAAAAATTAAAGCACAATGAATTTATAAGAGCACGCAAAAATGTTTGGTGGCATTAAGAAGAGAAATGTCGTTTCTTTCCCTATTGACCTTTTGGTTGAAACCCCGCAAACACAACTTTTGTAAAGTGTGGATTGGACTATGTTAGATCTGTTTGATTTTCCTTGCACTTTAATGAACTTAATTTTATCCTTTAGTTATTAAATAAAAATAGATAATAAAATGGAGATATTATGGTATAAATTGAAGATATAAAAGTTATTATCAAGAAAAGTCAGAAGAGAGATGAAACGGGACGGAACTAAAACACCATTGCCGTCTTGTAGAAACCAGAAATAAAAAATCAAATAATGTGTGCAGTGTTAGCTAATCGAAAACACTTAAACTAAGTAATAACATAAGTAAACCCTTAATAATATATTCATCATCACAAAACTCGTTAACAAACACACCTTGGTGTTTGGGACACAGTTAAAAAGAATATTTACCCTTCTGCTTGAATTGTATACATAGAGAATAATACATACCCTTTTCCATATCACATCCTGAAAACCCTTAATAATATATGTTTATCATTATCAGCATGCATTAAGTTGAGAAGAAAATAAGTAAATAATCATGCATGAACTTCTTACATACATGTAACACACATACTTTGGTTTGTTTCTACTTCTATTTCAATGCACTCGATCCGTAATTTGAAAATAATCTATTACATGTATTTGTTAATTAAGATTAACCTTATTTTCAAAAAGTTAGAATTAAGATAATAAGAACCTAACAAAGATTGTGTATGATTACAAGTACTGTTTTTTTTTGGTTTAATTTACTAATTGACGTCACAATAGCCAATTTTATACAATAAAAAAAAAACCCGTAATTAGTGTGTAATAAAATAAAATAAAGTTCACATCATCAGAATGAAGTCGTTTTATCATAAAATTATAAAATTGTTAAAACCGGCAATGCAAGTTTGTAAATACTCAGGCTCCTTAACTTGATAAAAGGGTTTCATGTATAGCTGCACCCCACAACTTCTAGTACAATTCTCTGTTTAAATTGGGCGTGGTATTGTCGACGTTACATAATTAGCGTCTAAAATTTTCAAAGCTTTCATTCACTGTTGAAATATACATGTGATAGAAATTCGGGCGAATGTCAACGAATGTAGCAAATATCCAATAAGAGTGTCTCGTACGGCGTAGAGGTGGGGCTTAAGTCGTTTCATCGTTGTCAACAACAATTTAAAGTTCTTGATGTTATTAATTTCTTAGCCAATGAGAATTTGTTCGCCATTTCACGGAAGCTAACCACGTAGCGTCGAGAATGCTACGCCTTACTGAAAGTCCAAGGATGACAGAGAATTGTACTAAAAATCCGGTTATTCAGAAAGTAGGTCATGTTTTTTACTGAATGTGACAGACAACCTGGTTTCTGTGCAGACAATAAAATGTTTAACACTATTCCCTGCCTTGATAAACACACAGGCACGTGATATCAAAACTGAAATAAACACGCCATTGGTGCTGTAAAGTAGAAATTAATGCGTTTTTAATCTATATAACATATACGCAAGATTACCCCGGACGTGTCTTGAAAGAATAAAAGAAAAGGGGGATATATGGTTTCATCGTCCAATCATTTCTAGTGATTTAACAAGCTATAAATTGATTTCCTGCAGCTTATTAAAGCAATAGAGAAAAAGTGTTTATTGCAAATTTAATTGATCATAAAATCATAAATCAAAACAAACACTGAGGGATATACCAGGGTAATATCAATAAAGTACGTGAAGTTCTTCTAAAAAAAAAAGTGGAATACTGTCTTTTAAAAAAAAATTGATAGATATGGTTCTTTTAATAAATATTGTTTATATTTTTTCATATCGCAGTAGAGTTGGTGGGAGTAACAGTAGTAACACGCTTACTTGTGCATGTTAGTTTGTGTGTGTGTGTGTTAGTTTGTCGGAAGCGAGGTAATTTGCGTCGGGATCAATGTCAAATGCTGCCTTGATTTTATTTGCTAATCGGGAGGGGATGCTCTACTTTGCGGTGCCCTTGTTAATTATTTTTCTGACTTTTTTATTTTCAAAACATGCACCACACCCTGCCAAATCTTTCACTTAAACAAACAATCGATGTAAAATTGTTAAAAAATCTTAATCTCTTAATCATTCGACATAATATGGCGGCACAGGTAATCATTTAACTGAATTTCCAGCAATCTAACACTTCCGTTGCGTTCAGTTCGATTGCACAGTAACACGTCCATTGATACCGTTACATTGCTGTCCCGTTGTCCAAAATGGTTTTATTGAGGCTGAACAAAGGCCAGTATTAAGCCCCATACAATAGAAATCCATTAGGTAATTGATGTTTCCAATAGTCTGTGTCATGAAACACTTTTTTTTACGGTAGTGATAATCGCATGTTGCATTTAATGGTGTACCGGAAACGGAAATGGTAATATAAAAGTAAAAATTAATGCAATTTGAGACCCGTCCGTGCTGAAGATAGAGGAAAATGAGAGGTCATTAGTTCAATAGTCGGTCTGATTTTTGTCTTACCTGTAAATGCATCGATATTTTGTGTTATGTATTCTCCGATATTAGATTGTGATTAAAGATTCGAATTTTATGTAATGATATTGATTATGAAAAAAGAACTCTTGCCATTCCTTACGATTCCTAGAAATACATGTCTACATTTTTTTTCATTTTGAATGCAAGGAAGATTTGTTTTCCACTAAAGATTTTTCTTTTCTTGTTTTTCTAATTAACCTTTAACATTTGTTTTAGTTTTACTTTTGGTAGCGAATATTTTTTTAAAAACAAAAGTAAACATTTTATTTGTGTATTTTGATGTCCCTCACAGGTTTTTCTTGGCCAGAAATACGGTTACCGACCTATCCCTACGATAATTGATGCAGCGGAACTAGATATGATGCGCGAATGTGTGCGTGATGTTCCAGCGGAAGTAGAGTTATTAGATAAGTGGTACAAGAAAGACACAAACACAGTGCCACCTGTCTACATTTTACAACCAATCAGCACCATTCTTACAAATTTTAACAACAAGGTAAATTAATCTGAAAATATTCTTAAAGTTGATATAACTTGAAATTGAACGCAATATTTAGACAGAAGTTTCATAATAAAAATCATACAAAGTTTCATTTGAAATACAGCCATTATTGTATCGTTATCTCGAACCAATTTGACCGAAGAAAAACGAGAGATATCCATGGTAAAATATTTAAAAGAATAAGTACTTGAGACTGTCAGATTAGTACGACATCAAGATAACAGTGTTCGAGATACCGAAGCTCAACTGTAATTTCATTATTAAAAAATAATTTAAAAAATCAATATATTTTTTTCATCCAGAGACATGCAAAATTACAAGAGGCTGACCAGGCGGAGTGGTGGGACACGTTCGGCAGATTGTGTCGAATCCTGCGAAAAGCCGCACAGGTTCTTTTTATCGCCAGGAAACTTGATAAAGACCAAATGCATAACTATTTTATGTCAGGTACTGGAGTTATATGGATTCTAACTTCAGTATTATAGTATATAACATTATGATAAATGTTTAAGTAACAGCAAATACAGCTTTAGATTTTAGAGATATGTTGTTTTCTTTTATACTCTGTTCCTTATTTTTTTATTGACTATGATTTCAGAACTTTTAACGCCTTCTTATCTTAATCAAGCTTTAGATGTAAGAAAAAGTTTCAAACATTCTCTTCAAATATGTCAGCAAAAAGTGCAAGATCGAATATAGATGAAGTTACGTTTACTTTTAATTGGACTTAGGTTCTAATCAGCAACTCTGATATGGGCATACTAAACTTTTACAGGATGCAAAAGAGTGCAGATTTTCTTTTAATCTGAATTATATCTTTTATAATAGATGATGTTTTCTTTGTTAAATAATTCTCTTTGATAGCGTTTACATACATGTTTAATGAAAATTGCACGCGTTTTCGTGAGGTATAAAAATCTAGCTGGGCGTTAGAGTGGTTCCACGCGCAAAATACAGAACAAATACAAAGAAAAAAGACTTTGTCGCAGTTATAACATTGGTCGAACAACAATCTTGATTGTTTTTTGCAAAATTATGTTCTTCCACAATAATTTTATTGATATTTTATTTCACATTAATTTTTCGTGATTTGTGATCATTCGATAACTGAATTCGGTCGCCAAACCCAAATCTTGAATTACTTCTCTGAAATACTTTATACTGATATTCGTGTTAATTACCTTGTTTTCCAACTAAAACAATAAACTAGAAATGTCTTTAAGAAGAATGCTAATAATTATTGAAATAATTTCCCGAAATAGTTTTACACTGACTGACATTAATCTTAAAAAAGTGAAGTTTATAACAAATTCTCTTATTTCTTGAACTATTTCAGTGACTGAAAGGGAAGTAGAACGTGGAATCTTAAAAGCCAAAGACGTTCCGGAACACTGTCTCGCTTACGTCCGAGAAATCACGAACATCAATGTCCTTTTCCGATTTGCCGCCAAATTTATAGATTTTGCTGCCAGAAATGTGGACGGTGAAGCCCAAAAATTATTGAAAACTCTTCGGGACGAAAAACTTCCGGCAAAGTGTCCACCATCAAACTTAATGAAATACACAGTGGATTGGAATGGTAAAGAAGGAATCGATCCGGAAACGCATGCGGAATACCTCAAGAACTTTCAAGAGCACTTCTATTCATCAGTGACACGCCTTGTTGATGAAGCAATGGCGAAGTATGAAAAACTTTCAAGTGACCCAGTCTACACGGAACATCTTCAACATTTACACGCTTGTTTCAATTCATGTAAAGTGTTTCAAGGACGAGAGGATATCGTGAATAAAATCAAAGCTTATATACAAGGACCTTCCAACAAACCGTTTATCCTGTATGGCGAAAGTGGCTGTGGAAAGACGTCTCTGACGGCGAAAGGAGCTAGCATGGTAAAATTGTTTTTTACAAATAACTTTAAAATTTATATTAACCAACATCTATAGAGATTTTTACCTCTAGTCACTTTACCCGAGGTCAAAAGGTGAATAGCTTTGCATGAAAATTTTGAAATTTATAATCAATTTGTGTTTGATGTCTATTGTGCATCTAAATGTGGTAAAGGTATGAGGATTTCGATATAAAAAATAGTCCCCAAAGTACAAAACGGATCACTTTTTTTTGCAGTAAGACTTAACTTATGTTATTTTTCATCTTTTTTTCATAAAAATAAAAATTTTGTGTAGATGTTCTGCGACTTGGCAAGCTGTTATGTTTTCAAGTGCTATTGCTGCGGTCTTAATTCACTTTTCAACAAGTGGGCATAAAAACAAGATTTGTTTCAATTCTGTAGCAACAAATTAATTTCTCTGAAATTTCCATTCATGTTTTTACCTGTATCTTCCCTGGAACCTTGAAACCTTTAGGGAGTCTAAAAATTCGTATGAGCAGAATTATATTTCTTTTTATCATTCTGTTTTTATCTTTTCATAGTCAGTTACGTGGTGGCCAGAGGAGTCAGAACCTGTACTCGTTCTAAGATTCCTGGGAACAACACCAAACAGTTCTAGTGTTATCCCACTTCTTGTCAGTCTGTGCAATCAAATCGCCTTCATCTATGGCCAACCCAAAGAGGAAATCCCAGCAGACGAACTTTCACCATTAGTGCAACATTTCAAGAAACTTATAACATTTGCCACTGCCGAGCGACCCCTCAACATTATACTGGATTCATTAGATCAGCTCTCGGGGGCAGACGGTGGCCACTCTCTAGCATGGCTTCCCACTAGCCTTCCTGAAAATGTGAAACTTATTGTGTCCACGATTCCAAGCATGTACAACTTGCTGGAGACCTTACAAGCTCTTGTAGAAGTGCCAGAAAATTTCGTTCAGGTTCTTCCATTAGGAGAAAATTTAGGTGGTACCATTTTAAAGTTCTGGTTGAAAAACGCCAATAGAGACATTGTATCAGAACAATGGGAGATTGTTAACGAAGCTCTATCGAAATGTAATTTGCCTCTGTATGTTAAACTTGTGTTTGATGAAATATGCCGATGGAAGTCCTACTCACCTTTGAAGCAGACGCAATTGAATTTCACAATTCATGACACAATTATCAAATTGTATGACCGAATTGAGAACCAGCATGGAAAAACTCTTGTTGCGCATGCGCTCGGTTACATCACGGCCGCCAAAAGCGGTTTGTCAGAGTCGGAGCTGGAAGACTTGCTATCTTTGGACGAGAAAGTCCTGAACGACGTTTACCAGTACCATTTACCGCCTGTGCGTCGTATTCCGCCTCTTCTTTGGACGCGAATTCGCAGCGATCTCCCGCACTACCTGAGTGAAAGAGAAGCAGATGGCGTAAATGTCATCAATTGGTACCACAGACAGTTTATCGAAGCATCAAGGGAAAGATATTTCAAAAACCTGAATTTTGTCAGTGGGATGCATGCAAACATTGCAGAATACTTCCTCGGGATTTGGGGAGGTGGTGTTCCGAAGCCATTCACGTACTCGGAAGCGCAACGCAGAATGTTCCATTTAGCAGATCTTAATGGAGAAAGCGACCGAAAGGTGCCAGAACAGCCATTAGCCTTTTACAACGAGCAAGGGGACGTTATTCGATACAATTTACGAAAACTCAACGAGCTTCCGTTTCATTTGATCCGCTCCCACCAATATGAAGAGCTTTACAATCACTGCCTATTCAATTACGGTTTTCTGCACGCAAAACTGAGTTCCATGCCGTTACAAAGTGTCCTAGCAGACTTTGAAGACCTTATGGATCATGTGTTCCAAAAAGATGCGAAATTGATCGCTGACGCTATTAAGCTGTCCAGTTCGATTTTGAGTCACTATCCAGATATGTTAGGGCCACAGATCATTGGTAGACTTCTGCCTTACTACCAACAGAACACAAATATACGAAGTCTTATTCAGCAGTGCGATAGTGATGGCTTAGAACACTGCGCTTTAGTTCCAGCACATCATTGCCTTCATACCCCTGGTGGACCCTTGCAATATTCTTTAGAAGGTCACCCCTTCGCACCATTTGGAATTGGAACAACGTCCAATGGAAAGTACTTAGTCTCAGTATCAAATAAATTCATCATATGGGATCTCGGTACAAGTGATGTATTCCGACAGGTCGTTCCCGGTATTGGGGGTATAATGCAAAATCTTGTTATCAGTGAAAATGACAAATACGCAGTCAGTTACACCAACAACAATCAGGTTGTTGTATGTACAATCATGACGGGCGATTTTCTTATTCTCAGCCCAGAAATTAAAGGTAAGGATGAATCAATCATTGGAACGTGCATTTCATTAACGCACATCGCGACATGGACGACCTCGTTATGGTATCTGTATAAGATAAATGGCAAATTCATTTCAAGTCACGTGATCGAACTTAAAATGCCCTTACTCTCAGTGGAGTTTGGAACAGACAGTAAGACATACTTGATTGTCAAGAGTGGGACCGACGCTGACTCTGACATGGCGCTCGAAGTGCATGATCAGTCCGTGGCGCCATTTGAATTCCACAGTGCTGTGGCCGTGTCGAAAGACAAAATGACTGTGTACGCTTGCATAGCTATCAGTGACTATGCTGTTGCTGTTTACAAGAGAGATATCGATGCATGGAAATACGATCGTACATTAGGTGACAATTACGATGCCATTTTCTCTCTTACTTTGTCAGAGGATGAAAGCTACCTTGTTGCAACAATTGCAAATGGCTTCAAACTATGGAATGTTCAGAAAGATTCCTTGGTAAAATTGAGTCTTCCTCCACGTACAAGAAATATTCCAAACAAGAATCCCCTTCTTTCTCTCGTCGTCTTCACAAAGAATAACCATTTTGTTGTTGCAGCGGTTAGAAAGAATCTGTACGTCTGGGATACCAAACAAGGAAACTTGGTGAAAGTTTTAGACGCCCATTTCGGTCGAATCATCTCAATTGATGCCGTGACTTCAGGTGGAAATAAGATCATTTCATCTTCCATTGACAAGACTATAAAAGTTTGGAACTTTGACAATATCTTGGAGGATGTATTTTCCATAGATCGCTTAGAGAAGCCAATCGAATTCATTCACTTGTCAGAGGAGAGTCCATACGGTGTGACGACGAGTAGAAATTGTGTTGGAGTTTGGGATCTCAACACAGGTAAATTGGTGCACACATTAGAAACACGAGCAGTAGTAACTTTAGCCAAAATAACAAGAGATGGCAAAAATGTCGTAGCGGCAGAAACTGGAAAACTGCTCTTCTGGGAAGTTGATCAAGAAAATGCGTTCAAGTCCATCATGCAAAAAGATGTTGCTGTTCTCTTTTTTGCTGAGGAGGACATGCGTGTGATAGCAATATCTAAACAGATTGGGAATAAGGGCCTATGCAAAGCATATACTTTTCCTGAGGGTGAAACAATCTTCACAATCGAATATAACTACAGAACCTTCAAAGGAGGTTGCTTCACGAAAGAGGGCAATTTTCTTGCACTACCATGTGCTGATAAGAGCGGAGATGTGTTGGGTGTTTACCAAGCAAAAACAGGAACACATCTATACAATTTACAGCTGAAGTACACAAATTACAAAGAACTGACCGGGATTCGTCCAATGCCTCATGACACAAATCAAATTGTTATTATTGACGAGGAGAAGGGAAACATTCTTGATTTGAAGAAGAAGACACTTGTAAGGTCCGTCATGAGATGGAATGGAATGGCCATGAAAACCGGGAAAACCGGTCTGTATGCCCCAAATCGAGGTGGACTTGAACTCCTAGATCTGAAATCGGGGAAAACTGTCAGAACACTGATTCCACGAGTAGCAGAGGGTGTGTTTAGTATTGACGTCATGTTCACAGAAAACGACAAACACGTCGTTTATTATCATTCTGGTCATCGTACACTACGTGTGTTCCGAATATCCGACGGAAAAAGGATCGCCAACTTTAAAGCGCATGCGGAAGTGACGTTTATGACAGGAACGATGGAAGGAGAAACACTCGTTATAGGAGCAGTTGATGGTAGTTTAACAATTCTTACCATTGCAGATCCAGAGTACGAAGAAAATGTCGAGTTTCTGCAGTCCCTTCCCAGCAGGCATTTAGCGAGAACTGCTAATGGACTTCCTACGGACGGTTCGGTAGTGACAGGAAAGAACAGCATGGGAACAGCACTACAAGTTGCAAGGTTCGTGGCCAAGGCTCGTGCAGTACAGCGATCTAGAGCTTGCGTCATCTCATGACGTAGGCATTCCTTGTTGTGTGACGTAGACCACAAATGTGCTGAATCCCTAGTAACTTTCTCTCCTTCTTCTTGAATGATTTTATTTTTTGCTTACATATACACACCTACAAAGCTTTTGTGGTGGAACACTGCAATGTTGTCTAGTGAACCCCTGATTATATTTGTAGACGTACTTTCCTGATATATGCTGGTGCTATCTCTATGTGCTAATAGCAAGATGTGGTAGATTTATATTACAGAACTGAAGAAGAGTAGAAAAAACGAAAAACCCGAGAATTAATTTTATTAAGTAGAAATCATAATATAGTTATTAATAACTAAATTTAACTTTAGCTATTTAACACTGGAAAAGAAAATTGTTCTACGCAGATTTTGTATGAAAAAATAAGGGCATCGTAAGTAATGACTGTAAAATGAAATGTAGCATCATATATAATTATTGTCATAGAGTTTATTTTTGTTTTTTATGGAAATATTAATTTGTTTTCATATAAAATCCGTCCTTATGATTAGCCATGCCATAATAAATTTCATGCACTTTGTGTTTATCGTTTCATTTTAATGCGCAATTTGCGTCAAAACTTTTCAAAAGAAATCAATAAATATACTGACGCATTGATGTAAAAATATGCTTTTTCATATCTAGCTATTATGATATATTTGTTAAAAAGAGCACAGACACTTTTCTAGACGTGACACTCTTTTTAGAACACGAAGAATTCTTTTTATGAAAATGTTTTCTTTGCATTAAACTATGTTCTAAATATTTTTTCTTGTTTTCTAGGAAATTTATTATTTGATCATACAGTAAAACTCGGTTATAGTGAAGTTCTAATTTAATCTATATTTTCGTTATATTCATATAATGAATTCGTATAACTATATATAGCGAATTCGCAATATGCACGTTTTCCTTCAAGAATTTATACCAAATAGATTAGGGAAGCAATATCTTACTTTGAAAAAGTAAGGTTTTATTATGAATTGAATGTTATATACAAATATTTTGTGAAAATAGGTTCATAATATCAAATTTTGAGATATATGAAAATTCGTTATAAAAGATGTAAAATACATTATTTTTAATCTTCACAAAAATCATTTTTGCCGGGGACCTATATCCGTGACTTCGCTATATCCGTGTTCGTACTAAACGAGTTTTACTGTATTTTTAAAACCATTGAAAAATACTGATAAAGGATATTTTCCGCTTTATTTTGCCGTCTGCTCCCGTCTGTCTGTCCGTCTGTCTGTAAACAATTTTTCAAAACGCTAGATTTCAATATAACTTGGCACACAAGTAGACTCTATGGGTTTTTAATTTCAATGAACGGTGTTGCCATGGTTAAAAAATAGAATTTTCTGTAAATTCCTTTATATACTTCCACAGTTTTGGTCTGATTTCAATATACTTTGGCACACAAGTTTATTTCGATGAACGGTGTTGCCATGGTTACTAAAAATAGAATTTTCTGTGAAATTCCTTTAAAATGCTACTCCTTCCACAGTTTTGGTCTGATTTCAATATAACTTGGCACACAAGTAGACTACACTAAGATACATAGAATAGTGCATCAATCACGGTGTTGCCATGGTTACTAAAAATAGAATTTTCTGTGAAATTCCTTTAAAACGCTACTCCTTCTGCAGTTTTGGTCTGATTTCAATATAACTTGGCACACAAGTAGGCTACACTAATGAAATGTGTATTTTACAATTTAGATGAACGGTTTATGGTTAGGAAATTCACATTAAAAACGACTGCCAGTTTAGTTTGATTTCAATATAACTTGGCACACAAATAAAGCCAAGATACATAGAATAGTGCATCGGTTTTTAATTTCGATGAACTTTGCCAATATCACACTGTTATTTCAATATAACTTGGCACACAAGTAGACTATATACTAAAAATAGAATTTTCTTTTCTTTAAAAACGCTTTTTGGTCTGATTTCATATAATGCTGGTAGTGCATCGGTTTCTGATTTATGAACGGTGTTACCATTTACTAAAAATAGAATTTTCTGTGAAATTCCTTAAGATATAAGTTGGCACACAAGTAGACTACACTAAGATACATACAATAGTGCATCAGTTTTTAATTTCAATGGTTTTTGATAAGTACATATATTTATTTTGCTCTTTATGTAATATAGTATGAATGAAATGTGTCTTTTACATTTTATGAAGGAATCACACATTCGATGCCCCTGTTTTCTAAGCTTACAGTAATTATAAAGCCACAAGGACTTTAATATCACACTGTTATTTCGAATATTTGGACCTATATACCTTTTTATTAATGCTGGTAGGAATTATATCTTAAATTTCAATTCAAGATATAGCATTTGAAATATCAAAATGTAGTGCATATATTTATTTTGCTCTCTATGTTTAGTTCCCTTGTTCCTACATTTATCGGTCAAGTGTGTATTATTCCATATATTGGATGTCTTAGTAATTTCTGTATTTAGTTTATACCTTTTTCTGTACTGTGTATGAATATTAGCAGCTATTTTGGTCAACCTTCAAGATAATTGACAATTGTACCTAGATATTCATTCTATTCTATTATCATTTTACTTAAGGTAGCATGGTACAAAACATTTTTGCAATTTAAAACAATATTAAATTATGTATAAACATAACAGGATTGGACAGCAGGCATTGCCTATATACGTCCTCTCCACAACAAAACTTATTGCTAAAAAAACTAAACAAATTATAAATTTGATCTTGCTATTAATCTGTCTTGCATGAAACTACATTGACTGAGTAATAGTACGAAATAGGCTGGATCCTTTTCTTGTTAAACTTTGAGGTCAAGGTTCACCATTTTAGTCTCTCTCTCTCTCTCTTTCTCTCTCTTGTCTTTTACTAGAAATGACATCCAAAAAAAGACATTGATTTTTTCCCCTAGATGAATAGCTAAATATAAAAGCCTTATTGTCCATCTGTAAGTCATTTCAAATCATACTCAAATGTAGGAATAAGCTATTACTTTCCAAAAAAGGTTTTAGACTCCATCCAGGGTAAAAAATTCCAAGAATTTGTTGCAAATCACAGACACCTGACGTTACTTATTTTTCTTGTCTTAAAAAAATTTCCCCTTACCTAATAATTTTTTTAATTAGAAGAAAAATAAGTAATGTAAGGTGCCTGTGTTGCACATGTATAGGAAAAGTTTGGATTCTGCATAAATACCGTATATCATTTCTTTTTCTGAAAGTTATTCAATTAGTTCGCGAACTTTTCGATCACCCTTCGTAGTTCTTAGATTTTCTAGAAACCGGTTTTAATAAAAAAAAAAAATGTCATTCAAATTTTAAACTATATTGTATGAAGTCTATTTTATTGTCAAATGACAGTTTGATAGCTTAAGATATCATACCTGAACAAGAGGCCACCGAGCCTTATAGGTTACCTGAGTATCATGTAACAGCTTTCAACCATTGAACTGGTTCGTGTTTTAAACCGAAGGCCATGAAAATCACAATTTTGAAAGAGGCGCCATGGCTTATCGTAACTATACACTTATCTTGCTTTCTTTGGTTACTTGATACCCAAAGGTAGATCAGAGTAACAAAGAAAAAATGCATTTCCTCTTTAAAACCAGTTGTTAAAGATTGCATTAATTTTAGTGGTTTTGGCCCCACCCCTCTGGCCTCAGGGGGGCAGGGACCATGAAACTCACAGTTTTTGTTCCCCTTTATGCCAAAATTGGTTGCAATTGGGTGAGTGGTTGCAGAGAAGAAGCTGAAAATGCTCAAATGTTTACTCAGGTGACCTTAAAAATTAGTTATAGCTGACGGTTAATTTTTTGACCCCCACTCTCCTTCAAACTCTGAAACCTTATTGCATGGGATACTGCAATATCTGTGTCATGTTGTAAAGTTTGAATTTACCGGGTGGCAGTAAATATAGAATTTATATCATGTTGCGAATTTCGTATTTACAGTCACCCGGTAAATTCCTAAAACTTACAACATGACAACTATTAGAGAAGTTCAGAAAATAAGGTTTTTTGCTTAAAAACGATGTTTTTGAGCCCATCACCCCCAGGGTAAAAACCAAAATTCTGAAATTTTATTACACATTTAGGAGACGTTTCCAATCGCCATCCAAATCATAGTTTGACTGCTATGTAAAATATAAGTAGGGTTTGAGAAAACAGTTTTTTGTATAAAAAAAAAGTCCCCTCCCTCCTGTTGTGTAAAAACCAAAATTACAAAATTTCATTGCACATATACAAGGTCAAATCAATCATATTCAAAAAGATGAGTCAATTCTTGTTCAATATTTTAAGAGGGGTTCAAGAAAACATGTTTTTGCAGATTTTTAAAATTCCCCTTAATGCCCCAATTGAGAAAATCGGAAACGTAAACTTATATGTAAGGATAAGTGTTGGCTATTGTAAAAAATACAGGAAGAGATAAAGGAACCAAAAACTCCTATTTGGACTTATAATTTCGCATGAAAATAAACATTTTTAATGGATAGGCTGCTGCTTATTGTAAGAGTAGTTTGAGGAAGAAAGTGTGAAAGGCATAATTATGTAATAGGATAATTATAACAAAATATCCAAGCATTCTTAGAAAGTATGAGAATAATTCTGCGGATGGGTATATTTTATTTTACTTAAACTTTAGTTAAAATTATGCATGATATATGGATATAACAAACATTAAATAAGCTCAAAAGTCATTGAAATAATAAAAACTGGGAGCAGTGCAAACACGGACCATTTAAAAATCAGAGGTGGGATCAGGTGCCATGGAGGAGTAATCATATTTGTTGACCTGTTTAACACACTCCTTGTTATAATTAGGCAAGCGAAAAAATCTGTCGATTTTCGGTGTTAATGATGCAAATCTATACTGAAAGTCTGTAGATTTTTTGACGTCTTTTTCGACTTTTGAGCTTTGATAACTCCTTGTTTGCGAAATGTTGATTTTAAATTAATCTAAGAGTTGATGTCCTTGTTTCATCAACTTTTTGTCAATAGCTTTCCTTGTTTAAGAAATTGTTCGTATGAAGAATTTTACCTTCAGTATCGAATCAAATGGAAACCATAAATACATGTACCTACATAGGTATTGTCAAGAAGAAACTCAGGTTTGAGCAATTTTTAAATGTCAACTTCATAGTCATCCTCGCTAGATATCGGATCGGAAACCCTTGGCTAGCGAAGATGTTTCATAGTATTTAAGGATACAATGACTAAAATCAGAATGTTTTTAACAGAGTAATTTTGCGAATGACATTAAAGGACAAGGTAAGTATATCTGGATATCAATTTTCCATATATCGAATTCCGAAAATATAGACAAAATGTAGATTTTTTATCCACAAATCACGGTTTAATGGTTACTGAAGATTGTACAGAATTGGTTTGAAAAAGATGTCCTTAAAATTTGACATAAATTTTGTCTTTAAAAATGCATAACTATGTACATGCGTTAAAATGTAAGATAAAATCATAAGTTTACTTAGTATACTAATTTTTCCAAAGCAATTATTTTTTTCGTTTCAGCTAAAGTATCCCTCCCTCACAGAAATCGTTGGTTTCCAAATTGAAGATTACAGAAGAATTCAATCATAGAGAAGACGGATATACTCCATATAAGCAGAATTCTTAAAGGATTTATTTTTGGCATTATATTAGCAAGGGTGTTGAAATTGCTAAAGCGATATTTCTGTCTTTTTAAAAAAAATGATATGACGTTTTCTCCCGCTATTAAAGTGTGAGAAAGAAAAAAGTATTCTACAATAAGTTGATAACATCTTTAAGACAAGGCAACACGGTCTTATCTGCTTTATCTGTATCCCAAAGTTTATAGAAAAATTACTGCGCATGCGTATCGGTTGCTCATGTTGCTTTGCTTACCCAGGTTGCTTAGAACAGCTGTTGAATGCATAAATGAAGAGGTATAGTTGTAAATGAATAAAAATCAATAAATAGAATCAATAATGTTTGATAAATGGAGCAATGTAATGTGTTCAACAATATGGCAGTTTGAGGATAAAAGTAACATTTTACAGTACCTAAGGTGCAAACAGGTAGCAGGCAGTTTCATCTCTTATAAAATCTTATGACTTTTATTAGGAAAGAAGTCCAGTCAAGGATTTTAAAGATGAATTTATAACTTCCTCTCTTTGAATGATCAGTCATTCCTTTAAAGGTTGTATACATGCATCGGTATATGTTAACAGAAAATTATAGTTTTAGGCATAGATCAGTAGGGTATACCAGTGTTGTACTTATGAAGAAAAAAAACTTCTGAATGCTTTTTTGCAAATTGTGAGCTTTAATAGGAATCAAAATTACTAAACAAGCTGTGCAAATATAATCATAATCCCATTTTTAGCTTAGGGTTGAATACAGTCAGGTTATTGTGACAAATAGTCGCAAAGGATAGTTGTTTAACATTTAGGGGCTTGTTGTCTGCAAGTACTGTACAGAAAGATGCCATTCTTTTAACATAAAATGTTTTAATCAATCAAATTAAACATATACTTTGCATCACAATTTTTCGAAAAATTAGTCTATTGAACTAGTAAATTAGTTTGCAAAACTAAGTATAATGGTTTTAAAATTCTGCAAAAACTAGGTTTAGTTGATTGTAAACAAATTGTATACAAATTGAGAAATCTGTATGTGAACTTTGTTTAAGTTTACAAGTATTCTCTCAAACCAATTAATGTACATGAGGTTCTATGTACAGTATATACAAAAACAATATATAAGACGCAAATGAAAATACATAATACATGCAGAAATGCATTCAAATTATAAAGTAACTAACAAAAATAATTATGGAGGACAGAATAATTCTTATACTCTATCTTTGTAACTGCATAAGTTAATGAACACCTTGGAGTCTGAGAATTTGTAAAAATTTGGTCTTTTACAATATTTACTGGGTAGATACTTTTTTCTGAATGCTGAACAAAATTGACAATATAAAATTTAGTGATGCTCATCTGTTTGATGTCCATTAGTTCATTATTACACATGTTACAAAGTTTTAACTTTAACATTTTTGGGAATTCCAAACCATCTCCCAGTCTCAACAGGGAAATGATAATTTGCTGTTCATAATTCAATCAAAATTGTTCAAAAATTTTGGGTAGTCAATAAAGAGTAACCGGGGCTCTGCATTAAGGTTAAGATACCACCTCTACTGTATTTAAAGTTTGATTCATTTGAATGGAAAAATGTTTTCAAGGCTTGTATCTATTGATTTCGTTCCATCAGATTTCATGTTTAAGTACAATGTACATGTAGCTAGTTTATAGTACAATGTTGATTGTGAAGATAAATACATGTAACTTTCAGTGGTCAATGTTATGATAAAATCGTTAAAAACAGTACATACATGTATACATAGCTATAAAAAATATATAATAAATAAATGCATGTAACAATTTTTTCTTTGTTATGTTCTTAATCCATCTTGTCAGATAACAACAAACACTGGTAATGTGTGATTAGGCAGCCAAATTTGGATAAGAGGTGTGGGGGGGGGGAGGATCTATTTATCTTTCAGTGTTTGTCTGCAAAAACTTTAACCTTGCCAAGAACTTTTGATTGGTTGGAGCTAGGGCTTTCATATTTCATGTGACGTATATCTTTTGATAAAGACCTTTCTTTGAACACTTACATATTACACCTCTTTACTTTGGATTTGAGTTTGATTTTTACTAAACTTTAACCTTGGCCAGAACATATGAATGGGAAGTGCTAAGGGTTTAATACTTCATATTGGCATATCCCCTAGCTGTTGCAAGATTTTTTTTTTGGAAACATATACCCTGGTATTTCTTACCCTTTGACCTTGGAGTCTGACCCCTTTGTAAAATTTTTTAACTTTTTTTTCAATTTTCAATAAAAGTTGGAGCCAGGGCTTTCATATATACATGTTCGTAATGAGAAGATGAACCATTTTGACCCTTCTACCTTGACCTTAGAGTTTGACATACGTTTGAAAACTTTAACATTGACTAGAATTTTGAATGAATAATGCAAAGGCTTTCTTAATGCAAACTGTTTCCCTTGCAAACCACATTCTCTTGTGCACAGTTTTGTCCCTTTGACCTTGAAGTCTGACCTTCTTTTTGAAATTTAAAGTTTAACCTTTGACTTGTTTTGAATGAATAGCGATAGTAATTTGATTTTTCACATTTTCATGAATTAGGTCAACTTCAAGGTCAGGGTTATGGGGTCTAAAATCTTTTTACTTTGTGAAAGATCTAGTCACATGCTAGTAATAATAAACCTTAGATATAAAAGCCATATCTTTTTGCATTCAGAACTAATCAGTATGGTTAAAATTTTATGACAGACTGACAATTCTTTTTCCTACACTTTCAAGAAAGTGGGGAAAAATAAACAAAATTAATTATCATAATAATAATAAACTCTAAAAAAAAGTCTAAGTCTTAACAAGATAATCATACATGTAAAATTCACAACAACACAATTATATATTGTCTATTATATACATATATATACAACTTTGAAATAATTGTTTATTTTAATAAACATTGTAGCCCAGTACACTCATGTTGCTGCCAATATACATTTTAGTGTTAAAAATAAAAACAAGATCATATATAGATCTATAAACCCTTGTTGCTTTTTGGCAAAAAATATAGGTCTTTTGTCAGAGTTGAAGTCACTGCCGGCGCGGAATAACTCTTGCCTGGACTGATTCCCTGGTCTCGGAGTTTAGTGAGATAAAGTCTGTTTACATGGAGAAGAATGTCGTAAATTTCCCGTGACTTTTGACCTCTCCGTAGGGGATCATAACAGTTCTTCTGTAATGTTTCTTTCAACCCCTCGATGTACCAAGACAAAGCATTGTCATCGTCATACCAGCTGTATGATCCTAAAAAATTATTACATTTTATTTAAAGAATATCTTAAAAAAAAAAAAGTTACCAGCAAATCTTCATCTTCAAATTATTTTCAAGGGCTGTAAGACTCAATATATTATTTGGGTAAATGAATAAGTCACTTTCCCCAAAATCAATTTCCTGAAATCCTTGATTAACAGTATCTGAAAATATTTCAATGGAATTCAAATTAAATGTTTTTTAACTAAACATTTTAACTATTGTAAAATCCTTTTAAAAATGGGTGAGAATTCAAATCCTATGAAATCACAATTTTCATGGGTGTTTAATTAATATTCCTTGTTATTGAGGAATGAAGAGACCCAAAATTCATGTCCACAACAAAATGTAAAATATCATACACATAGCTAATTAACAATTCTTGACCCATGAAATCCAATCCCCTTGAACCCAAAATTTTTCCTCAAACCACGAAAATTTGACCCTACGAAAATACGTAATTCTACAGTAATATCACCTGGTATTGTAGAAATCTGTACAAGTATGTCGGAATCTGTTGGGATCTTACGGATCTCAGGTTCCGTCGGTGTGGCACCACTTCCTGTCAGAGAGTCGGCAATGTTGTATGTGAAGGCTGGACACAACTGAAATACATACAATATACCATCACAATAAAATAATATATGAGTACTGAAGAGTAATTGTGCAAAGTTTAATATTCACATTTGCTGTGTTTTTCTAGTAAGCCAACTGTGAAATTGACTTGAAAACCATTTTCGAGTATACTCCCGCATAGAAATATACAAGGAGAAACGTGCGTTAACGTGACGTCACAATAAGGCTACAGCAACGTTGGGAAAAATGCAACGATAAAGGGCAGCGAGAAATTCAAATATTGAGTATATTTTAGTTGCTTTCAATCATGTAAAATATAAATATAAGTAATGTTTCTAAGTTTAGTGTGAATTATTGGTGTGTGAATCACAAAGACTTGCACATAGGTATATTTTTCATGAAGCGCTAGCGCGCTTCATTAAATATGCCTACGTGACTAGTCTGTGTGATTCACGCACCAATAACTCACACAAAACTTAAAAATATTCCTTAAATCTCTTCAGAGAAGTGGACAGGCTTTCGCCTACATCCACTTCTCTAAGCAAAAGCCTGTCCACTTCTCTAGAGAGAATATAAAAAAAGTGTGAACAGACAGAGTCAAAGCTACTGATATTGTCAATGGTTAATTAATTTATTTGACTCACTCAATAAATTTTTTAAAAAATCAAGCCATTTTTCAATCAAATAACCTAAGCCTTTTCTGTTCTGGTTAGTGTGCAGTGGAAAAGGGTATAAAGCTCATCTGATTTGTCATATTTAATTAAGAGTTGTCTTCCTTTAAATGTACTACATATATTCTATGCTTTTGAGGTATCAAATTGAATGTTCCTCCATATCAAAACTTCTCTTGCTCTCTTGTTTGTAAAAAAATTTGTTTTATAATCTAATTCTTTTAGATTGATACATATCAATTGCTAACTCTTATTGAAATTTAATTTTAACTTTATTATTATCTTTTTGAAATATTACCTGCATGAAGAACAGTTTGGGTTTCAAGGCCAGGGAGGGGCATTTGTCAGCTTTGAATGGCTCTATGACTTTTTCAACAGGAACCAGTTTATCAGTGCTTCCGTCGGGACACATTATAGCGCCATCTATCCCATAACTAAGAACAACCATCACAAAACAATCATAGTCGCTGTAGTCATTCAGTTCAGGATTGGTGGCTAAAAATAAAAAAGAAATATTAAAAGATTACAGGACTGTTAAATTAGTTTTCATTCGGCCCACCTCTGCTGACTATGGTACCCTACATGTACATCAAACATGATGTAATCTGCTGAGGTGTGCCGAGTGATAATTTTCTTCTGAAGTATTAAGACAGCGGAACATTAATTGGCAAAATTGGAAATATACAGCAGCATTACAGCCTACATCATTTCTATCTGTTACCATACATGTTAACTCTCCCGATTTAGGCGGGAGTCTACCGCTTTTTCACTCCATCTCCCGCCTACCGATTTAATTCAGAAATCTACCGCTTTTCTACAAAAGCTGCGTCTAAAGTATTTTTGGTTCGCTTGGGTATCCATTTTTGAAGCCACTCTCATAAAATCTCGCTAGATATCGCGTGATTTGACTCGGAATCATACAAACGCTTTTTTTGTACATAGATTTCAAGCACGGATTTGACAACGACAACAACATAAGACTACCAGTGATTACATTGGTTACGATAAATTAATCAACATCCCTGCCATGAAAAAGGAGATACAGCTTTTAAGAATTAGATGAAAACATTTGACATCGTCTTTAAAAGCACAGAAGCTCACAACTTTATCAATAAAGTCAATAGAAATCACTCGATTGACCAAGCCATGTGGCACATCTCTACTTTCGTTTTCGATCATCGCGGGAAATCTGATTTGTATAACGAAAGATACGAACTTGTGTTAGATCTAGATTAAACCATGCCATCATTTGTTTTGTTTAAAAACTGAATGAACATTCAGAATTATTGCTTCTAGGCTATTTCAGCAAAGATCACTCTTCAAAAGGCTAAGTAAAGCAGCCAATCCAAGCAAAATGATGAGCATGAAAAATATTTGAATTTGTACAATTTATGTCAAACTTAAGGTGTTTCTGTCTTCTTCTTTGCTGTTGATATTTAAGATTAATTAGTGTAGGTACCTGATTTCATTCAAGGCTTATAATATACATGTATATTACATGAACAATATCGATAATCCAAGCGTTAAACAACACGCGCGCAATGCTACCGCTTTTCAAGTCTGAATCTCCCTCTTTTTCATCACAATAGGTTAACATGTATGCTGTTACAATCAAAACATTCAGTGATAGACAATGAAATGGGCGGGTACAATTCGCTGCGGACGTGGGGAAAACATCGGATTGAAATTGCAGATCAAAATTCATTTTCAATCCACCTGAGCTGTTTTCAAAGCAAAGAGTGAATGTATGATCCAAAAATCAACTAATTTCAACTCCCAAATACATATTGTTTGAAGTTCACATTAATATGAGTTTTAGCTTATAATTTTAAGAACGCAAAAGATCATAGAAGACAAAGATTATTTTTCAAGAGATATTTGACTCTAGAAGGGGAGGGGGGTAAAAACTTGTCCAGTCAGGCATGGCTTAACATGACAATATATTTTATTTCTAGTATTATAAGAGTGCATGAGTTTTATACTAATTCTCACTGAAAACTGTTGGACAACTTTATTTAAAAATCGTTCAGCCCCCCCCCCCCCCCGGCAAAAACAGATGATTTTGGACATTGTTCTGTATGTTCCACTGTGGGCCCAAATTGGTTGAATAAATATTCCATTCTATACATATATTTACCAAACAGAAATGAATTATTTGTCCCTTAAATATTAATCTTTCTAAAACACTGGACAAAAAAATTCAAACTGTACCAAAATTGAAATTATTTGTCTTCTGGGTCAATGAGTAATAATGTGCCTTCTAGCATAGCTGAGGGGATTGAAAATGAATTTCCATCTACAATTTTAATCCAATGTTTTCCTCACGTCCGCGTCGAATTGTGCCCGCCCATTTCATTGTCTATGTTTTGATTGTAACAGATAGAAATGACGTATGCTGTGTATTTCCAATTTTGCCAGTTAATGTTCCGCGGTCTTGTAATTAAAAAATAAATGAATCATATTCAAATATTTCCTCAAATGCTATACCGTAATTAAGGTTCAGATCCGCTCTGGGTACTCGGGTGATGTATACAGTAAAACATACTTACAGTGAACACCCTAATAATGAATTGACACTGACAATGAAGTGATAGTCATTTCCTGTAGATTTAAAATATATTGTAAACTAAATTAACAGAGCAATCAATCAATTACCTTATGAGGTACAATCATCTATACCTAGCATTTCATCTTTATAAGTGTGTTTTACTGTGCAAATAGGTAACTTTCTGGTCTTTTCATTTACCACTAATATACTGTAAAAGCACAAATATTCGTGGGGGATTAAATTTCGTTTATTTCGCTGTTACCAATTATCAACGAAATTAAATCCCACACGAAATTTTATATGACTATATAATGAATAGGATTACTTTCAAACAACGAAATTAAATCCCCACGAAACTACTCTAGATGACAAAACAACGAAATTTTATCCCCACGAAAATTTGTGCTTCTACAGTAGCTAATTAAGCGGCAAGTGAAAGACCAAAAAGTTACAAAATATAAACTAGTCTGTATTAATAAATGCTATCCTGCAAAATAATTGATTTCCCACATTTTCATTCAGTGACAAAAATACCTACCATCTTGAATAAGTCTCTCCAGTTGTGTGGACGATACATCGTTAACGATGACCTCCTTCCTCCCACAACTCTGGGTGATGGGCTCAAACATAAGATGCTCCAGTATGTTTGACAGGGCAGTGGCGTCTTTGATCGAATCGTCTCGCTCTGGTCTCTGATTAACATCCGCAAAGTTCATGTTGTTGATGATAAGGGCTCTTCCCCTTTTGGGATGGTCCATCTTATAAGCTGTTGCAAAAAACACATCATGGGACATGGATATTGGTTTTGTTTGTTTAGACCTGCAAAGAGAATATCATTATATATATTTTTAAAAGGAGAATATATTCAGGAAATGATACATGATTGTATTAATTTATAAAATGATTTCAAATGTACCTTAAATATGTACACGATGTAACGATACAAATTACAATATTTTTTTTTCCAATGCTTGGTCATATTTTGGAATATGTACCGTACTAGTATTTGATCTTGACCCCACTTATCAAGGTCAAAGGTCATGTATGTCATGACATCTATATTTGCAAAATGCACATTACCCATGTGATGTGGCCGGTTTAGCTTTAATTCCAGGATGGTGCCCAGCAGCTTTAATTTTTGACTGGGGAAGAAGAGGACAGACTGCCTGGTTCCCCACCCCTAGACTCAAACGCTGAGTTGTCGTTGACGACTTGGATGGACAAATTATCATTATCTGTTTCCATACTTTCAACACCATCGACTTCTAGAGACGACATTCTGTCAAGAATGCGGCCACCGCTCTGAATGGAGTTATATGGTTGTTGGACTACTCTTGCGTCTAAACTGGAATTTCCTTTGACTTTTTGTAAAATATTACCTTAAATAGAAAAAAATATACAACATAAATAATATAACAACTAATTTGGGCATTTAACTATGTAGAGTCAAAAAGAAAATTTCCTGCTCATTTAAAGGATGATATTAAATTTAAACTGTGCACTGTAAATTGGTAATAAAGTCAATGCAATATGACTCACCATAATTTGATATATAACCATTATCACTACATACTGGGGGACAATCTTCCTCTATATCCGTCATTTTAATTGATAGAATTAAGAAATTTAAACCAATTAAAATGTTCCAGGTAATTCACAAATTCTTGAAATGCGTTATGCAAGATATGCAATATCACATTAAATCCTTTTATGATCTTTCACATGTTTGACATCTTTGCGAGGTTCAAGCATTTACTTTCTCTTTCGTTCCAGAAGAATGCACATGAAATAATTATTTTTTGGTCACATTGGGTTTGCTTTAAATCTGAAAGAAAAAAAATCAAAATAATGGTTAAAAAAATTAAAATACATACCACACTCAATTATTCCATGTAAACATTATTGAATAGGCAAAATTCTTTAAAATGTAACTATAAAAAATTCTGAACACATGTAGGTCTTTTTAAATTCCTGTTTGCTTTAGAAAAAAAAAAATTGTGCCAAGGTCAATGAAGGAAGAGGAAATTCTTGTCTGGCAATTTTTGAATGGGGAGTCTCTATAAATAAAAAGCTTGTATAGTATAATAATGAATACATTCAAACACTTAATTATATAAAAAGAATAATGATCAAACAGTATATTAATTAATACATAATTGTGGAATGATATATATTTAATCCACTCGGACAGCAATTAATATCATGTTTCTAGTCAGACACAGCTAGATAACACAAAAAGAAATTAATACCATATCCTGGTTTTGCAGAAGAGAAACCTATAGGAGATATTATGTTATGTGTATCCACTGCATTTTTTATGAAAGAGAAAATGACTGCAATTCTTGGAAGGCCTTGGAGGGAAGTCATGTAATTTAAATATTCGCAGAATTAGATACATTAAGTTGTGTAGGCCTTTCAACTAATTTTTCAAGCTGCACATATGATAAAAAACATTGCATAGATAGATTTATAGGTACATGAAAATTTCAAAAAAGATAATAACTTATGCATACTTTTAATTAAATCATTAAAAAATTTAATTTTTCATAATTGACTTTTACGATGTTGTGTTTTAAGGACAGGTAACTCAGGTGTGAAAAATGACCAACTAAATGCCGATTTATGAGTTATCGTTTATAGGAATGACATATAGGCTGCTTCGGTATTGGTATTGTTATATGCACACAAAAGGGTTCCTTACATTGTTTTGTATACAAAAGTGTTGACCAAAAGAAGTAAAATGCCTTCACTCTGCCTGAAATAACAGGGTCGAATGAATGGAGAACAGACTATATTCAATATTTTTAACTCTCTTTGACGACTGTTGTGAAGTAGAAAATATAATGTCGTGTTTTTTGTGTTCGCGCTTTTTCGCTTCCTATATAAAACAACATATTTTTACAAGTAAATGCAACAATTGATTATCTTATTTGTGTTACTTAGCACGAAGGGGAACGACCGAGTATAAAATTTTAATCATGTCAGAACTAAGAAGATGGGTAGATTTCACTTTTTATTTTAATTAAAAATTTTTAAATATATGTTGTTATACGGTGTCCGCAAATACACAGTAAATAAGTTTAACACTGGAGCTAAATTTTAAAACCACTGGATTCTACTGACAGCAAAGAAACACTTAGGAAATGCTAAAAACTGACTTGCATGTAAACAGTTAGATACCTCGGGCCTGCTTTAAACAAGTTTCAGCAGTGAGTTATCGTTCATAAAAGCGAACCCTAGCGGCACTTGAAAGGCCTAAGTTGTGTAGTTATTAACAGTGCCTGGGCCAGATTGGGATAAAGATTTCTAGTAAAAGAGTATATATTTATGCCTGTAATTAACATAATTAACTAATTCCAAGCCTGTTCAACAGAGCGAGTGGCAACAACTCGCTCACAAACATTTCTATTGGAGTTATTAAATAAAGGAATTTTGGCAAGCACTAGCAAACATTCGCTCTGTTGAACAGGCCTCTGGTGTGTATTTCTTGTGATAACAAGAACTCTTTTGTCATCATAACCTTGGCCTTGGAGATGGTAAACTTTTTGGGAAAAATTTTATTAATCTTTGCAACGAGCTGTCATTTGGTGAACAGTTCTGCTTGACATCCATGCAGGTGCCAGTGATTTAAATTTTCTTTAAAAATGAAACGGTAACATTGGTTCTTGGAGTAAATATAAAATATTGAAAAACTTGAACAGAGAACTAACAGAAAGTCAACTTTCCACAGATGCTAAAAATAGGCACGAGTCATATAAGCTAAGTTTACATGATGTACATCCACATGTACAAGTTGTATAGAGTGCATAGATAATCATAATGTACACATTTTCATTCGTATGCAGCTTTTGCAAAACTTCTTAAAGTCAAACATATAAAAACACAACTGACAAGAAAAAAACTATTCACCTTCGCCTTCGGGCTTCAAGTGTTGGTAAACATGTTGTTGGTAAAATGAGGAGCAATGAAGGACCGAGCCGAAATCTGTCGTAAACTGTTTATATTACTGTCTGTTTAAATTATTCTCCTAATAATTTTAACATAGAATGATATAAACAGATAGTTTTTATCAGTGTTTATCACTGTTTATGCTTTCAGCATTTGAAGTTTACATTGATGTCAAGCAAGAAGACCTTTTTAAAATGCAGGTTAATCTTCATAATTATATTTCATATTCATCATGTTCATGATAGTTTATTTACAAATTTAAAAACGATTTTGATTTCAGAACAATATATTATAACTTGATATGAAAATCAAAAACAACTTATATTCACAGAATTTATTTTTTCTTTTTCAAATAATGCTTGTTTTAAAAAGCTTTTTTATTTTATTATTTTTGTTTTAATTGGTTTCAAGCGACACACCGTCTAAAAAATGGCCACCAGAATGTATTCCGATTATGCTTATGTAATATGCTTGAGGACAATCCATTTTTCCAATTAGCTAGAAGAAACTTTTCAAATTACATAGAATATACAAAAGATACACAAACTCAGTGGTCCTTGCGACACGTGTCCACACCTGTGACAAGTGAGGGAAAGTGCCCACAATCACTATAGGGTCGGCGCGGCGCAATGATAGAATTAAATTTAATCTTATCATCTGATATTGCAATTGAAAAATACACTTCTGTCTTTACCATGTTTACTTCATTGTATTATGAGTTTTAAAGGTAAATTACATGGGGAACCAGTCAAACCGTTCCCCACGAAAACCGTCATTTCACATGGGGAACCAGTCAAACCGTTCCCCACGAAAACCGTCCCGGTCAAAGCGTTCCCAGATTTTGGTCAATGCGTACCATGATTTTGGTCAAAATGTCCCCTGATTTTGGTCAAAGCGCCCCCTGACATATTTTATTGAAAAACGAAGTTTCCAAACCGCCCTCACATTTTGGTCAAACTGTCCCCTGATTTTGGTCAAAGCGCCCCCTGACATATTTTATTGAAAAACGAAGTTTCCAAACCGCCCCCACATTTTGGTCAAAATGTCCCCTGATTTTGGTCAAAGCGCCCCCTGACATATTTTATAGAAAAACGAAGTTTCCAAACCGCCCCCACATTTTGGTCAAAATGTCCCCTGATTTTGGTCAAAGCGCCCCCTGACATATTTTATTGAAAAACGAAGTTTCCAAACCGCCCCCAAATTTTGGTCAAAATGTCCCCTGATTTTGGTCAAAGCGCCCCCTGACATATTTTATAGAAAAACGAAGTTTCCAAACCGCCACAAATTTTGGTCAAAATGTCCCCTGATTTTGGTCAAAGCGCCCCCTGACATATTTTATTGAAAAACGAAGTTTCCAAACCGCCCCCAAATTTTGGTCAAAATGTCCCCTGATTTTGGTCAAAGCGCCCCCTGACATATTTTATTGAAAAACGAAGTTTCCAAACCGCCCTCAAATTTTGGTCAAAATGTTCCCTGATTTTGGTCAAAGCGCCCCCTGACATATTTTTTTTTGAAAAACGAAGTTTCCAAACCGCCCCCAAATTTTGGTCAAAATGTCCCCTGATTTTGGTCAAAGCGCCCCCTGACATATTTTATTGAAAAACGAAGTTTCCAAACCACCCCCAAATTTTGGTCAAAATGTCCCCTGATTTTGGTCAAAGCGCCCCAGAATTTTTTTTTTTCTAATATAGAAAAACGAAGTTTCTTACACTAAAATCTATAGTTAAATTGGTCAAAGCGCCCCCTAAAATAATTTTTTTGGGTTTACTTAGTTTAGGTCCAATAGAATAGAATATCTTTGCGATATTGCCAAAAAAAGCATGTGCGTTAATTACAGGGACTTAAGTGTGGTTTTCTGGTTAAGATCTAGTTAATGACTTTAGACTAACCTTTTGGTGCTATATCTATTATGAACTCATCACCAACTTCAACTTTCATTTTCCCGTACTTTGTTTTAAATTATTTCCATCCTTCTATGATGGCATTTTTTTTTTTGCAAAAAAACTTATGAATTTATAAATTCATGCCAAATATAGAACAAAAGTTTTTACTATAAGAATGCTTTTCAATAGGTGTAATGATAAATATTGTTCAGTAAAATAATTTTTAAAAATGTTTACTTTCAATTTTCAAACAATTTTCAATCTGTCAAAAATGTTGATAAGGGCATATGTGAGTGTGCAAAATAATTACACATGCAAATAATCTAATATTTGATAAATTTACATGTCTTTAGTAGTAATCGAGATTGGGGTATTAATTAGTAATCTTTAATGCGTTGAATTATTGATGTTAACTAGTTTCTTCTCAAAGTATAGCAAAAAACAAATATTAGAAACAAATATTGCAATACAAGTTTATAATAATGTTCAATCAAGTTGTACATACATAAATAAACAATTTTATTGCATTAAATAACATAATTTTCGTAGCATACTCTAAAGTACTCTGACGTACTCTAGCGTACTCCGTTTAGTAGTACCCAGTTTTTGCTTTGAACCATTAAAATTTCGAGGATGGAAAAAAACCTTGATTGAATGATGTAGAAAATATTCCTATTTTACAAACAATCGGAACAGTCAGTAAATTAGAAATTTATTAATGAATTTTGTGTGACATCATCACGGGAAGTTATAGAAGCTTGATACAAATTGCAAGAAAAATCCATACCGCCAAAATGATGAAATGACCAAAAGTATTAACACCCGTCGTTTACAGTGTTACAAGTTACGCAATTTCAAACCCCAATACTATGCGCGACGTCTATGTATTTTCGCTAGAGGTGAAATTTCAGCAATATAACGTACAATTTTAATCAAGCGAGTTTATCACTTGTAAAGACGACGATAATGGGTAGGTTGATGGATAAAATATAAG